CAATTTTGGACCAATTCTCTCACTGTAGGGTTGTAGGTTTGAAAAAAAAAAGGGTAACATAATCAGTTTTCCTTCTTCGTTGCAGCGCGCCCAGACACGCTCTTAATTAACCAAAAAAAATTACATCTTTATTAATAACAAATTAATTATTAAATATAAACTAAGCAAACGTGTATTGCACGTTGCTTGCACCTAGTATATTCAAATAACAAAACTAAAAAAGTAGATTTGAATTAGAGTCGACCGAACAATTTTCTAATGTTTAATTAGGTCAGGCATACCCATGTTAAGTATAATGCTGAACAAACAGGGATAAAAAAAGGGCAAAAAAAAACAGACTGATGTGACAGCCCATAATTGAGTGTTTTTATGATTTTTTTCCTATTCTTCAATGAAAAACTACCCATGTAGCATGAATGATAAGGTACAAGTATTTTATGCTAATGGAGCCCACCGTCACGACCGGGTGGAAGCGGAGGGCAAGGGAACGCCTCACATTCCGCTTTAGTAGCAAAACATATATCTTCGGGATGCCAAGGAGGTTGTACTTTGGCCGAATAACAGCACCAGCAGTCTTGAGTATTCATATTTCCACAACCTACTTTTAAACATCCATCGGAACCACCTATTTTTCACATTTTTCAACACAATAAAACAAATTAGTCGATCAAATTCCAAAAAGATAATAAACACAATTATTGATATTAGTGAAAGAACACGTTAAATTATATACAAATATTATGTGTGCTGACGTGGGCAAGTGAAGCTTTAGCTTCAAACGGAGAGGAAGAGTTAGTTTAGTATGAATAGACAATCTAATTGATGGCGTATTTTGTATTAAATGTTTATATAGTAACGTTTCAAGAATAATCAACGTTATCGAGGAATTTCTAACGGGTTGAATTCTATTTGATAAATGTGCAAAAAAGTTATGAAGTAGTGCCATATCGGCCCACATTGTGGGCCCAACCGACCCTCCAATAGGGGGGTGCCATTTGGCCATTATGTGAACCCTTATGGCACCCCCTATGTACAAGTAGAATTGTCCGACAAATTAAGAGAGGGACATTGCTCCAAACACACGAGTTGAAATTTTTACATAACATTACGTGTTAGTTTTTAGTTTTTTGACATATGCTTGTTACCACATTCACATCAAGATATTTGCACATTCCAATTAAAGTACTAATGAAAAGACCATGTAACTTACATTTCCAATTAAGCGAAATGTTACGAGTTCTGCTAAGCCCCTTGATAGTTTTGCGCACCGACTTCCGGTACAATTTCTATATAGCTGGAAATAGAGACATTGAAGTGAAATAAAAAATTTGAATGAAATCGAATACCTAATTTTAAGAAATCAGCTGCCGAACATTCAACAAATGAAACGGGAAAAAGGGTTATACTTCCATAACGTAAAAATTACAACTTACAAGTTCAATCTGAAAATTGTTATATTTCGAGGAAGTTAGAATCCCAGTAACCTAAAGAGTAAAGTAGCTCTTTTATCTAGTAAATGATTTTGTAATTTTTTTCTTTTCTTTTATTTTTAAAGGTATTTATGTCTTGCAAGTTCTCCGACTATAAACCCCTACACCTTACACTCTTGGTTACATAAGTATATTCCCCGATCTATTGGAATGTTGTTTCTTTGAGTTTTGCTACACAGACATAATGCTTGACATAGGGGATGACACAACATACGCACATGGGGGATGTCGGCGTTATTTAATTCAGGTCGGGACTCACATGTAGTGTGAGAGGTCGGTCAACCCCTATGTCAAGCATTATATTCATTTAGCTTAATTCTGTTTCTTTAGGCCTTCTCGATTTCCTTTTTATTTTTTTTTTCCCGCGGCAAGTCCACAAATGATTTGACATTTTCCAATATTGTCTAACTAGCAAGATCACCAAACAATACAATGTTGAGTTGGTGCAGCAACATAAGCATCTTTCATACCATAGATTTATAAAAGAAAAAAAATAAAATAACGTATCATATAAATTTATAATTCATCATTTCCTACCACGACTCATTATACTGCACTAGGAAATATCATATATAAATCAGGCTTGACCTATGTATAAGGTGCTCGTCGAGTCGATTCACAGTCCAAAGGCTACCAAGATACTTCCTAACACCACAAGTGTACTATTAATGTTGGCCCTCCAAACACCCTATCATCGACTACGTACCCATAATGACTATGGAGATTCTCAAGCGTTATATCTATCCCACACTGGAATAGTAGGATACAGCCGTTTGGCAATTTCGTTATATTCAATGTGATCTTCTAATTTCAGATATCATATCTCAGTATTCACAATCATCTCTCTCTTAGTTTCATTATCATTTCTTCTACAAGTTATGCAATGTTACTTTTCTCGTGTGGACATGAATACAACGTTATATCTCGTGCAATCACACGGGAGGACGTTATAATATATATACTATTATTTTGCATTATAATTAAACTGTTACTTTGCCTACCATAGCAATCATTGCTTCGTTCCTCCAAAATTTGAATTTAGGTTAGCATATGCATAAATCAAGTATCTTAGGTTAATCATGACCGTATGATCTCCCGACATCAACTCAATGGTCAAATGGATCTGAAAATACCAAAAATTGGGTTTCGAAGTGCAATAAGGTAGTAGGTGTCAACTTTAGGGAATCAAACCGCTCATAACACTGGAGAAATTAGATTTTCAAAATTAATATAAATATCTTCACAGGGCATATAATATATTACCATTGAAAAGCTTAACTTTTTTTTTTTATGAGTCTCAATTTTGAACTTTGTATAAAACGTTGTGTGCATTTTCATTTAGGTTGTGCAGTCGTCCGAGCAGAGGAATGAGTCAACCCGTATAAGTAGGGGCCTGAGTGGTCTACCACAACCCTCCAAAATCACCTGGGGTCGATCCTTAGGGTCTGGGTTCATCTGATGTCTCGTTTTTACTCCAGGTGGTACGAGGATTATTTCTAAGTTTTTTTAGAAAACTTATTTTAGAAAAATACTCTAACCAAGATAAATTATTAAACGTAAAATTAAAGGACATTACTACGCCCATTGAAGATATGTTGTAGCCATACCACTGTAAAAATTCACTTATACCAGCTAAACCCTAGATCACAGCTCAAAATGACTGTAATGGCTCTACTTGTGAGCCAACGTTTGAAACACAATATTGGATTACAATACTAATTAATTTCAACCACATAAAAGTATCATTTCTACTCAGTCATAAATTTATACTTTCTTGAGCCATTTGCTCTCATTCTCTCATGTGGGGACATAATACAGACTTGTGCTGCAAAATGCAAACATTTGCTAGTGGGGAATGTCACCTACCCACACTATATTTGTGAAGTCAAGATACGGATAATGTAGAAGATATGTCGATATTGTTTTTAAAATGATGAAAAGAAAAATTCTCTATAACTAATAATGAATCAAACAGAGTGAAGAGGAATGATGCCAACGATGACGAACCCAATATTATGAGATATAGGTGCTTGAGAAAGATCTATTTGAACTGTCTACTTATGAAAAGCATATAGAATTAGTTAAATAACTTTGCCATTTTTGTCACGTTTGTTAAGGGATAGAATCTCACATCGAATAAAAATATAAACACAAACCAACTTATAAAAGATTGAGTTACTTCTCTTTACAAGGTTGATCTTTTAAGATGGAACTCCAAATCTTAATATGGTATCAGAGTCCATTAAACTCTAACTAACAATTCGATCCGGTAAATACTCCAAAAGTGAGCATACGAATTTCAAGATTGGTCTACTCAAACGAGCCACCATCTTGCGGGGGCATATTAAGGGATAGAATCTCACATCGAATAAAGATATAAACACAAACCAACTTATAAAGGATTGAGTTACTCCTCTTAATAAGGTTGACATTTTAAGATGGAACACCAAATCTTAACAACGTTTTCTAATAAACTATCTAGAATGATGTGATTTTATTTTTTCTTGACTTTAGATACCAAAATTTTCTGGTGAAGGAGGCCATATTGGAAAATAATCCAAGGTAGGCTCCAAAACTCTCTCTTGGTCTGCATTTTTTTGTGGATGTTCACCAATATTTTCTCCGGTAAGTCCAAGTTCATTTTCCAAATTTCTTAACCACTTCATGCACTCAACTTCACACTCAGGATTCTCTACAAGATTGGAATCCTTATACTGATCATTTGATTGAGATTCAGTGGAGGACTGTAATGGATCCAAGGCATCTAACATGTTCCAAAAGTCAACATCAGAGTCAAAGGGGATTTCAATCTTTTCATCTGACGAACTGTTAGAGTTAGTCTCCAGGGACATGCTATTATCAACTTGTTTCGGTCCAGTGAAGTTGAAACGTGATCCCACTGCTTCATCCCTCGGAAAATCATCGAGCTGACTAATGTTAGAGAAATTTGATGCATATGAAGAAGTCGGAGAATCAAAATGAGCTGATTCTTTTTGCTCGACACTTAGCCCACGACGTGTTGATATTTCTTTCAGAAGCCCTGGTTTATTCTGATTAGGTTTCTTGAATATAGGCTGCTGAATCCCTTTCTCCCCATTTCCACATGATGTAATTGAACTCGAAGTACAAGAATCATTGTCTTGAGTGAAACCCACATTTTTCCTATTCAATAATCTTTTCTTCAAGTGTGTATTCCACACATTTTTTATCTCATTGTCAGTTCTTCCTGGAAAATAAGATGCAATCTTTGACCACCTGTTCAGTATACAATAAGTTGTTAGATAAGATTTTAATATTGAAAAAAGGGTAGAATAATCATATATCTTACTTGTTTCCCAGCAAATTGTGCAGGTTTATTATGGTTTCCTCTTCTTGAGGTGTGAAATTACCCCTTTTTATATCTGGTCTCAGATAATTAATCCACCTCAATCGGCAACTCTTCCCACATCGTAGTAGTCCTGCAAATTAAGTACAACTTGATGAACTTAGTAGATCAAGTTTTGTTTTTTCATTTAAATGTGTACTCACTTCTAAAGTTTGAACCCCTCGTTTTCCATTAAAGAGTTCCATACAAAAACATGCAATTAAGAAATGAACTGTTCACTTCCCTTGAACTTTGAACGTGACGAATTAAACCATTACTTGCATTTTAATATAATAAGAAAATTCAAAATAACAGAAAATTGAGTCCATTTTGGTGTATGATCACTGTAACCTTGTTTAGAGAGAGAGAGAGAGAGAGAGAGAGAGAGAGAGTACCGGCTTGTTTGGGGAGAGCACGCCAGTTTTGATGGCCGTGGTTGTGAATGAAAGTGATAAGTCTCAAATCTTCAGCAGAAGTCCAAGGTCCTTTCTGCACCTTATTCTTATCACAGCAAGGAGCACGTCCTCTTCTCATTTCTCTCTCTCTCACACACACAGACAAATTTAAACTTTAGTTAGTTTGTTTAAAGTAAGTGAGGAAGTGAAGGCATGCAGACGGGATAATTGGCATGCATATGGTGGTTTCTATATCACCACCACTTCTCTCCATTTATATAGTTTCTTCAGTGAGACGTCATGTGACTAACAACAAGCTATCAACGTCATTCATGTAAAATCATCGAGGTGTGCTACACGTACAGAGCCACATTACAGGGGGGCAGTTGGCCCCCATCATGTATGTGTAGAATTTTTTTCAAAAGCAATTAATATATAAAAGTTTGGATTACTCATTTTCATAAGATATACCTACTAATCTCAGGTAGAGCCCAAAAATTCAAACGAGTAAGTCGGTTTATTTAGAACACAATTCTTGAATGAATCATCATATTGAAAATCATGCAATTTATTTTATTTTATTGAAAAGAAAACGACTTGATCTACACTTTTTAGTAATGTTGGAGGTGCAGCGATTGCAAATATGTATCTTAGCAACTGGAAAAGTTTGTGTGAAAAAGGGTTCGCAAGTCGAAGGTGTAGTGATTTAGGTCACCCTCTCAAGTTAGTGCCTTTAAAATATACTGAACATTGACATTTAATCATTAAATATAGAAAATATATACAAGTTATGCCCCCTCAAGTCTTGAGGTAGGGCAAGGAACATTTATGGGTTTTTACAAATTGGTACCTAATTTTGACAAAATCTCTCTTTTGGGTCAGTAGAGTCTATCACTAACTATGCACGACCGTATGTGTGTTCATATGTAAGCATGATGCGTGGCTTATGTTCACAAGTATTGGACACAGATACGTGGACAGTTTGCTTCAACACACGCGTGTCATGTGTGTGTGTATATATGGGAATTTTTTATTTTTTATTTTAAATTTTTTCCAAAATGGGATGTTCAATTGTATGACTTTTTACTATGGTAGAAATGTGACTAAGCCACGTGGATTTTTTTATATTTTTTTAATGTTTTAAGAGTATCTTCAAGAGACTCTATATTTTTAAAGAGCATATTCTATCATTTGGAGATCATCTATAAATTTAGAGAGATAAAATTTTGACATATTCCAACAAATTCTTTATATCTAACATTTAATTTTACTACTTCTAAAAAATATTTATTATTTTTCTTTATCTTTTATTTTAACTAGCTTTTATTTATATTATTTTATTATTTTCCTACATTGAAAATTGAAACACTTTGAATGCATTTAATTATAAAGAGTGTGCTTGGCTCTCCAAATTTAGAGAGTCAAACACACTCTCTAAATGAAAAGTGAAATTAAATGATTTATTTAATTTTACATATCATTTAATGCCACATTAACGTCACATAAATTAGGGTTGTAATCACAGTAGGGTTAGATAGCATTACTCAAATTAAAATGTTAATTTAAATAGTCTCTTGGGGCATAATTTTAAATGTTGATTATTTAAAATAGAGAGCATCTCACATTTAAAGAGTCTTTTGGAAATGCTATAAGTTTTCAACGAAAATAAATTGATTTCGACATAATGTTCATGTTTGGTTCAGTTAAAAAATCTGATTAAAATGTAAGTTAAAATCAACAATTAATATTAATTGCACATTTCTTGTAACCCATAACTTTTGAACCAAATATTCTATCAGTTTTTATCAAAATTTATTAAAAATCTGATTTTTATTTAAACCAATTAATGACAATATGACGTGCTTTTGGATATTTTAGTTGAATAACTTTATTCGAAAAAATCTCACAAGCATCCTCACTCTGTATCCATGACTTTAGAGTCGAATGGGAAGGGTTGTTGGAGTTAGGATTGTAGAATTGCGAGGGCGAATTTCATAAAATTTTAATTATAGGGCAAAGTTGAAAACTATTCGGAATTTTTTGAAAATCTTATGCAAAATCTTAAAAAATCATGGATTTGAAATCTAGCGTGGGGATGGCCAATTCCATTGCCTCCTCACTAAATCCGCCACAGATTGGAAGGACACAACTCGATCGGCACTTGAGGTGCAAATTAAAGTACTTCCAGTAGTGAAAATATATTTAAATGTAGAATTGAAAATAAAACCGTGTCTGTCATATGCAATTTTTTCTTAATATGGAAACATTTCAATCTCAAGTTAATTAGCTCCGAAATGTCATGGTTTCCATTTCAACGTATAAATGAGATAATTATTGTGATATTCAGCTCAAACAAAACGTCTTTATTCATATCTCGTTGTATCTCATTTATAAAATAAAATTGTGCATATTTAGACATTTGAGAAAAAATAAATTTGATTTGTGAAGGAGGGAGGAACGCGATAAAATAAAATTTCAATGCATGAATTACCTCTCTAACCATTTAAACTTTTTAAATGAAAAGATTAATTTTGGGCATTATGGTCCAAAATGTGTTATTTTAAAAGTTTAAGACAAATTAATAAGTATTATTTTACTTATACATTCAGGTGTAATAAGAGAATGTTATTTATGCATTATGTCACCCAAGATATACACGTCAGTGTACCAAGCGCAATTAATAATCAGTAAGCATATTCTTCAATAATATATTATACTTCTGTTTGGTGGGATTTAAAATCGATTTTTCAACGGATTTTGATAAAATGTTGATAAAACATGTGTTGAAAAATTGTGGATTCCATAAAATATATTGTTAAGATTAATTGTTGATTTTGACTTTAATAAAAATCTAAATTTTAATTCATATCAGACAGGGGTTACAACAATAATCAAGGACTTAGAAATTCAATTTTTTATCTTGTAGGTGGGTGGGATGGTAGTAAGAAGACACCAAAAAAATCAACTGCCGAAGACAATTTATACATACGTGGTATAATTATGGACCAACTTTAGTCAAAAAATTACAAATGGTGGATTAATTAGGCAGGTTGCCTAAAAGACTTCAATAATTCAAACCACTTGGTCAATAAATCTGTTTTCCGTTTTGACTTAAAGAGCACTATGGAGGACTTCGAATGGACAAGAATGACTTCTTATTAACGAGAACCACATTTTTAATGTACGATTATTAGATATCAGTCCTCCAACGTTATTTGTTATAAAGTTATGCTGCACATACAGGTTCCCCTAACACGTATAGGGCTGACGTGGCCCTAAACCAACATTTTTGCTTGTAATATGGTCATAGTGTGTTGCAGGTGACGTGCTGACAATTGTGGAGCGAAAGCTCGAATCCAGTGAGAATCTAGTGTAACTATGGAAAAGAATTTCAAAGACAAAATATAATAAAATTATTTTTAAAAAATCATATAAATTTTACTTAACCTCGGATCAGTTCGACTCGTTGATATCATTATTCTTAACCTCCAAAGAAGATTTAAATCCAAAACAATGACCTAGCAAGTCTTCTCTCTTGCGGCCACTTTGGATCCGAGAGTCCTGTGTGGAAGGGCTCTCGCTCGACGGATCAAAGGTACTCGGGAATATTAGGTTGATGACTCTATGTTGGAGGAGCACAATAGGTGGCCATTGGCACACCGGAAAATATTCATTTGGTAGTATTGTGTCATAATTGCATTCTGCGGCACAAGTCCAAATTTATTATTGAATTAACGGAAAATTGTAGCCGCGGTATCAAACATTTTACTTTTTTTGCAGACTTTGTCCAAACATTTGATTTGTACCACCGTAGGTACCAAACCTTCAAAAAAATTGCAGCTTAAATCCAGATTGACAGCTTCTGTCAGTTTGACCCAAGAAATCGTCAATTGACCTCAAAAATTAAAATTTTAATAATTTTGATCAAATAAGACGGAGGTAAAATGGTAACTTTATAATTTTAATATAAAAAATAAAATCCATCTCCTTCAATCTTCCCCAATCCCCTAACCCAAAAATCAAATACACTCACAACAAGTTGTTGGCCGACCATGTCAATCCTTCCTTCTTTGTAGCCCAAGAAACCAGCATGAAAAGAGAGTCAGCTTGATGAGCATTGTACGTTCACATTCAAATTCAAATTCAAACTTCAAATGATAAATCTCAAAACCCTCAATTCACTACCTTCAGACACTTCCCAAAAAAAAAACGCTCTGCAATTCTCTTTCAAAAAGTTCACTGAAGAAAACCCCAAATCACAGAAAAAATGGAATCAAGAAAAATGAAGACAAATTTAACTTCATGTTCTCCTTCGCCATTACCAAATCCTTCGTCAACTTCAGTCTTTAAGGACTTGTTGAATTTCAAAACCCCAAATCAGGCCTCACGAACCCTTAGTTTCCAGTCTAGTCCGTATTCCCAGCAACCCAAGTTCTTCACTGCCTCAAAAAACACCCCCGTCTCCCATTCACGACGCGGCTTGAAAACCTCATCTTTGAAATCGAAGATGGCACAGAGATTAAAGGCATTTGAGCTCGAGCAATACAAGTCGGCAAGGAAGGTCCAAGTCGAAAAGGAAAAATCACTTCAATCACTTGCAATAAGCAGAACTTGTTGTGGGTGGAGGTGAAGGGAAGGGATGTGATGATTGACTTAGCCCAACCTCAGGTGTCAAGTTACAGATCTGGTCACTGAGCTCGACAACCTTCTCGGGGGCTTCTATGGAGGAGAGGGGATGGCGCGGCTGTGACGGCGGGGATTGGGGTTGTTTGTTTTTGTTTTTTTTTGGGGAGGGGGGAGGGAATTCAATGGATTGTTTTGGAAATGTAGGGTGCGGGTTGTGATTTTGTCTTTTGTTTTTAAAATTTTTGAAATAATAGGGAAATGTGTTATGACCATTTTACCCATATCTTATTTGGTCAAAATTATAAAATTTTAATTTTTGAGGTCAACGACAGTTTTTTGGGTAAACAAACCGTGAGTTTGGACTTGGGCTGCGATTTTTTTGAAGGTTTGGTACCTACGGTGGTACAAGTCAAAGGTTTGGGCAAAATTTGCAAAAAAGTGAAGATTTGGTATTGCGATTGCAATTTTCCCTTGAATTAATTATTAGAAAAAATATTGAGCATATCTTAACCTAACAAAACCGACTTGGTAAGGGAGGATTGTCTTTACCTTATTAAGTGGATTGTGTAAATACTATCAGTCAATGTGAGACTCTAATATGCCCCCTCATGCACAGCGTGGATCATGTCAAACAATTGTGAACAAATCGATATTGGGTGTTCCCAACATTGTAAAACTGAAATTGCTCTGATACCATATTAGAAAGGATATTGAGCTAACTCAATCTAACAAAATCGGTTTGTTAGGGGATGATTGCCCTCACCTTATTAAGTGAATCGTCTAAACATTACCAGCCAATGTGGGACTCTAATATTAATTGTCACGAAGTCGAGTTCATCCATATGAAGACTAACACGAGTATAGAATAAAATATTGTAGAAATAGAAAATTTGTTATATGTTATATACGTTTCAAAATAACTTGACAACAAAGTTATAGGAGTTCCAAGTTACAGGATTCAACATTGTTTTGCATCTTTACTTCTATTTTATAATTCTCAAATCTCTAATATTAATTGTCACGAAGTCGAGTTCATCCATATTTCAATTATCAAGTTTCGAATTTGTATTGGTTTCTTGTATTTTATTATTGTTATTATTAATATAATGGTTATTTGGATAACAATTGGTTCAATTGTGAATTGTAACGAGACCATGATATAATTTACCATTTAGACCGGTATAATAAAAATAAATAAATTTAGATAAAATATAGAAATATATTTTCTATAACTTGTGAGGTTGTTTGATGAATTTTCGGGTGATTAGAGGCCCTATTATTTGTTGTAATTCATGTTGAGATATAGTGAATTAACTTATTTACGTGGATTCAATTTTGCTCCAGAGATAATATCAAATAAATTAGATAAAATAGTACAATATTTCGTGAGAACGTACTATACTCATCGGTATAATATTAGCTCCTATGTCAATCACTTCCATTTCTCTCATCAGACCATCTGTAACACTCATAACTACAGCTCTAACTCGATTATTTCCTAATAATTGCTATACCCTCGTGAGATTTTGCACTTGTAATTGTAGTAAACATCTGTAATAGACATAGATCCATTTGTAGATTAACAGACATATATTAAGATTTTAATTTGTTTACTTATTAAATAGTACAATACATGGTATTATTAAATATTTCCTATTGGTGGTTAACTATAGTTTAATAAAGTGGACATTGAATTATGATATGTACAAACTATTTAAATTGTTGAAACACGTTGACAATTTATTGGATGTAGTTAATTTACACGTGCACAAGTGGTTTCTTTTCTCTAAGGCTTGAGGAGA